CCCTAGGATATTAAAGTTAATAAAATCCTTTTTGTTAAATAGAAAACAAATAATCTGTTACAATAAATCACTATCGCAAGCCACTGAATTAAATACTGGGGTACCTCAAGGCTCGATTCTCGGTCCTCTGTTATTCAATATCTACATAAATGACCTTCCTTTATGTCTGTCGTCGTCCTGCGATTTATTCGCAGACGACTGTACCATCTATGCAAATGCTCAAACATGTAATTTACTAGAGTCCTCATTACAACAAGAATTAAATAATGTAGTCCAATGGAGCAGTGCAAACCGTATGCAAATAAACATTAATAAAACCAAATCTATGCTAATAACGACCAGGCAAAAACTATACAGTTTAAATTCTCAGAAAACGCTTCAACTCTACATTGGGGGCACTCAAGTAGAAAATGTAACTGAGCACAAGACACTGGGGTTGGTAATTGATGCAAATCTAACATTCAACTCACATGTACAAGCACTTGTGAAGCAAACAGCTAAAAAGGTTTACCAGCTTGCAAAAATTAAAAACTTTCTTGATGAACACACAAGAAAGATATTCTATATTTCTCACATCCAGACACATGTAGACTATTGCTCTACAATATGGGATGGCTGTTCCAGCTCTGTTATCAAGCAATCATGGAACACTGAGCTCCGAAACATATAAAGGTCTTAGACTACTACCGCTTCGCGAACGTCTACTTTTCAATAAGGCAAAATATACTTACAAAATATTATCTCAAAAGGCTCCATGTTACTTATGGCCGTTGTTCAAATATAATGAACGCCATAGTAAGCGTCTAAACATATTACACATCCCTAAACCTAGGATAGACCTTTATAAAACAAGTCTGTCATATTCCGCAGCTCACTTGTGGAACTATCTACCACAGCAAATCAAAAGTGCCACTAGTCCATATACATACAATCGGAAACTGTTCGAATATTATCAGAGCACCGATTATATGCCCCCGTAGAAGATAAAACATATGTGAAAAATAGCGCTCATTTTTCTTAGATTTGTTACAACTAATACGTTTTACTGTAGTTAGAAATGTGCACATTCCAGTGCTTGTATTGATTATTTTGATGCTATTGCTAACTTTTAATATTACTTGATGTGTGAATGAAATGATGTCAGAATGGAGGGAGACCTCGAAGGGCAGAATGTTAGACGGGCCTGCGTGCCCAATTCTTAACCCTTTAACAATAAAGATTGTTCGTTCGTTCGTTCGTTCGTTCGTTCTACCTGTTTATCCATGTATATGTATGTCTGTCTGTTTATCCATGTGTGTGTGTGTGTGTGTGTGTGTGTGTGTGTGTGTGTGTGTATATATATATATATATATCTATAATATGTCAGTCCATGTGTATGTATGTCTATCTATTTATCCATGTATATTTATGTATGTTTATCCATGTGTATATATGCCTATCTGTTTATCCATGTGAAAATATGCCTATCTGTTTATCCATGTGAAAATATGCCTATCTGTTTATCCATGTGTGTATATGCCTATCTGTTTATCCATGTGTATATATGCCTATCTGTTTATCCATGTGTATATTTGCCTATCTGTTTATCCATGTGTATATATGCCTATCTGTTTATCCATATGTATATATGCCTATCTGTTTATCCATGTGTATATATGCCTATCTGTTTATCCATGTGTATATATGCCTATCTGTTTATCCATGTGTATATTTGCCTATCTGTTTATCCATGTGTATATTTGCCTATCTGTTTATCCATGTGTATATTTGCCTATCTGTTTATCCATGTGTATATTTGCCTATCTGTTTATCCATGTGTATATTTGCCTATCTGTTTATCCATGTGTATATATGCCTATCTGTTTATCCATGTGTATATATGCCTATCTGTTTATCCATGTGTATATATGCCTATCTGTTTATCCATGCGAACATGTATTTCTGTGTGAAACTGCTGCCACTGGTTTTGTTTAAGCTGCATGAGCAGTTTGTTTATTTATTAGCAAAATTCAAAGCTAATATTCCTTCAGTGCAGGAAGTAAATGGTCACCCTGGTATTGCAGGAAGCGGCAGGGGATGTCCTGACAGAGTCCATGAGCCTGGTGGCCTTACCCGCTAACCAAACGTTACACATTCATGACTATAATCAACAGTTGAATTCATGGCAGTTTCTGCCCAAATGATATGATTATCTGTACAGATGGCTCTGTGTTGAGAGGCAGACGAAGTGCATGGGGGTTCATAGTAGACGCGAATGGACATCGCTTAGTGCAACAAATCTTGACATATGATATCACAACGTCTAGTTTGAGAATGGAGGTGTAGGCGGTCACTGCTGCCTTCTGCTGGCTTGAGAATCAGCTGAACCAACTCACAGAGCATGTGGAGACAGGCATGCTCCGTGCAGAGTGGCAAGCTTCACTTCAGAGGCCCCTGGTTGTTATCATCCTTTAGATATTTTCTCCATGTGATGATGGTGTGTTGGGAAATGTGCAGGCAGATAGACTTGCCCTTTTGGCATGACTTGATGGTGAATTGATGTATGAAAAGCTAGATGTTGTGAGGGCGCATTTGGGATTAAGTGAACAGAGCGGAAGCACAGATAGATCATTACGGTCTGAAGGGAATGTTACTGCAGGGCCTTACCAGGGGATTTGGCCGACACTCAAGGCAAAGATGAGATGGATATACAATCAGACAGTTACTGAGACCAGCTCTCCTTTAAATAACGGTCGCTAGCTGGAAGTTCACTCCCTTGGCTGCAGTGCAAATACAGAGTGGTAAATAGGGAACGAAACAAATGATATAGTTACCTGTTATCCTAGGGTTAGGCTTAGGGTTTGAGTTAGGATTTGGGGTAGGGTTAGGGGTGAGTTAGGGGTAGAGTTAGGGTTTGGGGTAGAGTTAGGGTTTGGGTTAGGGTTTGGGGTAGGGTTTAGGTTAGGATTAGGGATAGGATTAGGATTAGGGGTAGGGTTAGGGTTTCAGGTAGGGTTTGGGGTAGGGTTAGGGTTTAGGGTAGGGTTAGGGTGACACATCACGGAAACGACGGAAACTTATCGCTCATTACGACATACAGATCCACAGATCTCACATCTATGGTCACTAAGTCGTGGTCGGAAGAACGCAGTCGCTAATGTGAGTCGCAGCGCGTGGTCTAGCTTTACCAGGCATGTCGACCTCACTTTGTGTTTTGATTCGTGACTTGTCCGCTCCGTATTTGCACTGCAACCAAGGGAGTGAACTCCGACTAAGCGGCCGTAGCCTTCCAGCTAGCGACCGTGATTTAAAGGAGAGCCCTGAGACCATTGGAATTTGAACTCTTCACTCGCTGCTTATTGGCCTGTCCCAAGTGCCTTGATGTTGATTCTTAATTCAACATGTTTTTCATTTATTTTTATCTCTCTCTCTTTCTCTCTGTGCTTGTGGGATTGGGTGCGTGTGTGCCTGTGTGTCTGTAGTCATTTTGCTACTTGTGCTGTTTGTTCATGTTTCTTCTGTTTTTGTTTCTCAGCCAGTAATGATCTTCTCGGAAGTCTCCTTTCACACCGACACAGAACACCTTTCACACCGACACAGAACACCTTTCACACCGACACAGAACACCTTTCACACCGACACAGAACATGTCTTCTAGACAATAAGCTGCACTGATCTGTTCAACAGTAAAACCACAAGACACACAGGAAGTAAAATTGGCATTTATTGACAGATTTTTTTTACAAACATGAACAGTTAAAACCAACATATAAACAACGTTCCATTCAGCAGTTACAAAACATGAAGCAATGTTGCTGGAATTCACAACTACAAAACAAAAAGTGATGACTGATGTTTGTCATAAATGGATTATTATTTTTTTTTTCTTCCTCAAGCCATCTACCTGCACCTCATTCATGATTGTCCTTGACATCCGGTCTCCCATTTCTATATTGTAACAGTCTAAACATATATACTGTGTGTCATCTCCACAACAAAGGTTGACTACCGTGGATCTATAAATCCACTTCTGCTTTTGAGAATTACACAATGAGTGTCTTCCATGGTGGCACTCTCGTATCACTGGGCAAAAGCCAGACTTAGAGGATTGTGAGAAACACTCACTAGGCTGTGAGTCCTGGGTCAACACTTACACCAACCGCTGGTTTCTGGGCAGATCTGTTTGATGATCTCTACTGATGTTACAACATAGGAATAATTAAAAATTAAAAGTGAAGGTCAAAGAAACAATTTGACTAAATGTTACCAGTAGAGAATGATGATGGGTTTCATCACAAATAATGGGAAGTGGCCCTCCATCTTGTAATAATTAACATTACCTTGTATTAAACAAGAAATTAACCAAATAATGATAGCTATATTCTGTAGGTACCAACCTGGCATGTAACTAGCTAGCTGTCAGTGACAGACATTACCAAAATAAAAATATAACCACAGTGGGGTTGGTTTATTCTGTCTATTTCTCAGTTCACATTTTAACTCTACTTGACATTTGGTGGCGTCTACAGAAATGCCCTGGCATAGTTGTCTCCTCTTCTTCTTCACTTTTGGTCTGACTTCTGTGATGCATATGGTGACCAAGCCAAACTGGCAACTTGTGTATGTCTTTTCACTAGTTCTATTTTTGCCATTATATCTTGCAGTTAAATACCACTTTTTGAAATCATGACTTCTAGTGACAGCCAATGTTTCACAGCCATCTTGTGCTACCACGCTCATCCATTCATGATGTAAACATTTAATAAAAACATGATCGATATAAGAAAGAAAATGAAATGAAAATCATCTCCTGCTTGTAACTCAAAACCAGAAGATGATAAAATTGAATGCATGACATTTGTATGTAGAATGTATGGACACCCGGATGGCAGAACAAGTCTGTACAATCAAATAGACTGAGGGGGTGAAATAACAATGTTTTAGAGAAAGCATTAGCAAATGTAAGATATGCAGCAACATATTTCCAAATCCCATACAAAACATTTCAAAGACAGCATGATTCAGGACATAATGTCCCGACCTTTGCCGAAATTTTGTCCAGACTGGTTAGCCCCCTTGTTGGATCCCATCTGTAGGCCAATGATGCCCTTCCCAGCATTCAACTGTTCCTGGGACCATTCATGGTGCTGTCCCTTGGATTCTGCTTTTCCAAAACCTTCCCTGCCAATGGTATTGAGCTGCAATTTGAGAACAAAGCAAACTTAGTTGTAGTGCTGTTAGAGAACAGAGTTGTGGTTGTGTTAGAGAACAGAGTTGTAGGGATGTTAGAGAACAGAGATAAAAGCATGTTAGAGAACAGAGCTGTAGGGATGTTAGAGAACAGAGATAAAAGCATATTAGAGAGCAGAGCTGTAGGGATGTTAGAGAACAGAGATAAAAGCATGTTAGAGAAAAGAGCTGTAGGGATGTAAAAGAATAGAGCTGTACTGATGTTAGAGAACCGTGCTGTGGTGATGTTAGAGAACAGAGATATAGTGATGTTAGAGAACATAGCTGTAGGGATGTTAGAGAACAGAGATATAGGGATGTTAGAGAACAGAGCTGTAGTGATGTTAGAGAGTAGAGATATAGTGGGGTTAGAGAACAGAGCTGTAGGGATGTTAGAGAACAGAGCCATAGTGATGTTAGAGAACACAGCTGTAGTGATGTTAGAGAATAGAGATATAGTGATGTTAGAGAACAGAGCTGTTGGGATGTTAGAGAACAGAGCCATAGTGATGTTGGAGAACACAGCTGTAGTGATGTTAGAGAATAGAGATATAGTGATGTTAGAGAACAGAGCTGTTGGGATGTTAGAGAACAGAGCCATAGTGATGTTAGAGAAAAAGAGATATAGTGATGTTAGAGAACACAGCTGTAGTGATGTTAGAGAACAGAGATGTAGTGATGTTAGAGAACAGAGATATAGTGATGTTAGAGAACAGAGATATAGTGATGTTAGAGAACACAGCTGTAGTGATGTTAGAGAACAGAGATGTAGTGATGTTAGAGAACAGAGATATAGTGATGTTAGAGAACAGAGATATAGTGATGTTAGAGAACAGAGATATAGTGATGTTAGAGAACAGAGATATAGTGATGTTAGAGAACAGAGATATAGTGATGTTAGAGAATGGAGATATAGTGATGTTAGAGAATAGAGATATAGTGATGTTAGAGAACACAGCTGTAGTGATGTTAGAGAATAGAGATATAATGATGTTAGAGAACAGAGCTGTTGGGATGTTAGAGAACAGAGCCGTAGTGATGTTAGAAAAAAAGAGATATAGTGGGTTTAGAGAACACAGCTGTAGTGATGTTAGAGAACAAAGATATAGTGATGTTAGAGAAAGAGAGTAGAGATATAGTGATGTTAGAGAATAGAGATAAGGGGAGTTTAGAAACATAACTGTAGTGATGTCAAAGAACAGAGTTATAGTGATGCTAGAGTATAGAGATAGAGTGATGTTAGAGAATAGAGATAGAGTGATGTTAGAGAACAGAGATTTAGTGATGTTAGAAAATAGAGATATAGTGATGGTAGAGAACAGAACTGTAGTGATGTTAGAGAATTTAGATATAGTGATGTTAGAGAATAGATACAAAGTGATGTTAGAGAATAGAGATATAGTGATGTTAGAGTATAGCGATAGAGTGATGTTAGAGAAAAGAGATATTGTGATGTTAGAGTATAGAGATATAGTGATCTTAGAGGACAGAGATATAGTGATATTAGAGAATAGAGATATAGTGATGTTAGAAAACAGGGATAAAGTGTGAATTCAAATGATCGATAAGGCCATGGAAGTTTTTATGTCGGGGGGCAGAGAAAAACAAAAACATCTGGAACTTCGCATACCAAACGGGAATTTGACTGAACAATATGGGCAGAAAGTGGTGGCAAACTGTGGTAGCAGATGGGGTGGCAGACTGTTGTGGCAGACTGTGGTGGCAGATATTGCTCGCTAGCAGAGGAATTTGATGGTTTTTTTAATAGTTATCTTTTTAGCTTATCTGAGGATGTAACCACCGATGCCTGTTTACAGCATGGGAGCTGTATGTGCTACATTTGGCAGACACATCTTCAGGGATTTGTTGCAAGCTTGGCTTGCCTTTCCAGATCTGGGACAGTTCTAATGGTAGTTCGTATGAAAGTGAAGTTTCAAAAAGTGTGTTCTCAGTGTATCCCACAGGTTCCAGTGAACACACACGTAGACGGTGAAGCACTTGGTGCATTACAGAGATCAATGTCGAGTTTTGAATGTGACAATTCTTGCAGCCAAACAGCAAGCAAAAAAATGGAGACAGATCCTATGCTACCACAACAAACAAGAAATCTACTTCCTAGTTTCCTGCTCACAAGATCATAATGACTGCATGCTTTTTTTTAATGAGTGTGGTAAGCTTTCATTGACAAACTTTACATAGTTCCACTAATACCATCTATACCAACTGATTAAAACTGTATAGAATAACTGACCCCACCCACTATCATGCGGTTTGATTTTGGTATAGGACTTCCTCTTCAGTGCTCCCCCTTTGATGGGCGGTTACTATGTTGTGATGTGGTGCACAGCAAGGCTGCAATATCTTACCTTTTGGCCAAACACAACACATTTCAGCAAAGTCTTATTACGACGTGCTTGGGGGAGGGGGAGGAGGGGGGGAGAATAGTGAATCATTTTAGCATGCAATAAATGTAAAAGGTAAAATCATATGGAATGTGGTCTTTGTGATGCAGGAAGAAAACCAAACACCCATCAAGCATTGCTTTGAACTAAAATGTGTGCACTTTCGCCTCACAGACAAGAAAACCACAAAATAGATCAAATACTCACTGCTCGGCCAAGAGCTTCGAAGCACAGACACACCTGGACCATGTTCTGGTCTTCATACAGGTCCACAGTCTGGAAGAGCTCATCCTTTTTGACAAGACCACCTTTGGACTCATCGATACAGTCCAGGAACAAGCCGATCAGCTCCATACGTTTGAAAGCCATTGTTGGTGGCTTGCTTAGTTTGCTGGCTGCGATGGTGCCTGGTTTGATCCAGTTAGCTAATCTGTGGGTGTTCATCATTGTCAATATAATTATAACAGCATGTATGATTGTCAACAAACACAATGATAACCTTATGTATGATGTACCCACATGCATGTAGCATCAGTACACATAATCAGACACCCAACCACATAGCTTAAGCCATGTTCACCATCAACGATAGCTCAGATTGAAAGACTAGAAAAGGTGCAAATTGAAGCCAAGCGCATTATTCTGGGGTGCACAAGAGACACCACTTGCATAGCAATCAGATTATCTTCTTGACTTTCCCACTATACACCAAAGGTCGAAGATTTTGAGGACTTGTGTAGACCTGAAGATAAGCTTGGATTTGAAGCACCTTCTGCATAGTGTTGTCTTTAGGAAAAGGGGCAACAAGCTATAAAGGGCAACAGGCTATAAAGGGCAACAGGCTATAAAGGGCAACAGGCTAAAAAGGACAACAGGCTAAAAAGAGTGACAGGCTATAAAGGGCAACAGGCTATAAAGGGCAACAAGCTATAAAGGGCAACAGGCTATAAAGGGCAACAAGCTGTAAAGGGCAACAGGCTTTAAAGGGCAAAAAGCTATAAAATGTATCAGGCTATAAAGGGCAACAAGCTATAAAGGGCAACAGGCTATAAAGGGCAACAGGCTATAAAGGGCAACAGGCTATAAAGGGCAACAGGCTATAATGGGCAACAAGCTATAAAGGGCAACAAGCTATAAGAGCATCAGGCTATAAAGGGCAACACACTATAAAGGGCAACAGGCTATAAAGGGCAACAAGCTATAAAGGGCAACAAGCTGTAAAGGGCAACAGGCTTTAAAGGGCAAAAAGCTATAAAATGTATCAGGCTATAAAGGGCAACAAGCTATAAAGGGCAACAGGCTATAAAAAGCAACGGGCTATAAAGGGCAACATGCTATAAAGGGCAACAAGCTATAAAGGGCATTAGGCTATAAAGGGCAACAGGCTATAAAGGGCAACAAGCTATAAAGGGCAACAGGCTATAAAGGGCAACAGGCTATAAAGGGCAACAGGCTATAAAGGGCAACAGGCTATAAAAGGCAACAGGCTAAAAAGGGGTAAATCAGGGCTCAGTAAGATCAAGGATGATATCATACAGGTCTGCAGTCTTACAGACATCAACCTCGGCGAAGAATGGACACCTGTGCTCCAGGTGCTCAACTGCACCTTTTCCTGTTTTGTCATGCTTGATATGATCTGACGGGAGCAGAATCTAGTTGCTGTCATTCAGAGGTCCATGTGTTTATATGTAAAAATTGAGATGAAGCAGATAGACTGATGTGATCTATACTGATGGGTCTGTTGTACGAGGACACAAAAATGCACGAGCATTTGCTGCATGCTCTGTAGGCAGAATAGTCTCGGAGGCAAGTGGTGCCTCTGGTATGACCACTAGCAGCATGACACTGGAGGTGATGGAGGTAACATGAGCATGATCCAGCGGGTCGAGGCCGGTTATCTATGCAGACAGTGGACTGAGTCATTGCAAAACTCCACTGTGCATGGAGTTACCTTCTTCTTTGTCCTAGGGTATGCGGGTGTCGTTGGCAATGAAAGAGACAACAGATTAGCTGGCTCTGCCTTAGTTATAGACGGCCTGCCCATGGATCATGCCGACATTGTTAATGTCATTAGAGAGGTAGAACGTTCAGCGGATTTTTGGAGCAGCACTTCCACATCTTTGCTAAGAGTGCAAGAATGGGGAGGGGGAGAGAATCAGCACAGCTAGGCACGAGAAGCACACTGGATGCATGAGAAGTATTGTCAACTAACATAGGACTGGGACCATCAACCAGGTGATGCTGATGCTGAAGGGTGAATCCGAGCACCTATAGATGTGTCAGGAGTGCCGTAAAGATAACCAAAATCATTACTCATAACCCATTCATATAAAATACAAATACATATGCATACATGCACAGGCTGATGCACACACACACACATGCATGCGTGCCCACACCACACACACACATACACACACACACACACACTCTAGCCATGGAAAATCAGCATTTTGTCTGAGACTGAACTCAGGCGGTGATGTGTTTTCAGACTCCGTGGGGTTTTCTGGAGATGCTTAGAGTGGTTTAGAGTTTAACTTTTGTACTGTGCTGTTTAAAAATATGACGCTCTATGCTAAACAGGCTGTGTCATAGAGGAAATATTCTGTGTCATAGAGGAAATATTCTGTGTCATAGAGGAACTATTCTATGTCATAGAGGAAATATTCTATGTCATTAGGGAAATATTCTATGTCATAAAGGAAATATTCTGTGTCATAGAGGAAATATTCTGTGTCATAGACGAAATATTCTGTGTCACAGAAAAAATATTCTGTGTCATAGAGGAAATATTCTGATCTGATCCGGTCAGCTTTCATTTATCACATAATTGCAGATATGTGTGTACAAACACATACAGATATGTGTATTGTATTTAATGTGATACAAAGTTATCGTTAAGGTAGCCATAATGGATTTCACCAGAGAATATGTAATGTTGAGAGGTCCTGGAGAATATATAATGTTGAGAGGTTCTGGAGAATATGTAATGTTGAGAGGTTCTGGAGAATATGTAATGTTGAGAGGTTCTGGAGAATATGTAATGTTGAGAGGTTATGGAGACTGGAAGGGATTTCAAGCAAGTTCAAGAAAACAAACAACAAAGATATTACTTACTCTCCCAGTACAACCCCATCCATAAGTATCTGGTGACAGCTTTCTCTGGATCCATCTGTGCTCAGAGGTCTCCCGATCCTCTGGCTGATCCAGCTGATGGCAGTAATCGCGCGTTCAGGGTCCCATTTAGCGTCCATCTGCAAAGGACAAAAAAGTTGTTCTATTTTTTTAGGAGTGACAACTCATTTAGAAAATTACTAAGTTATCTGTTATTATAATAAAAAAATTATAAATTAAGAACTACCAGACAAATGTCTTATTGTTTCATTTAATAATAAGTAACAGTTTTTAATCCCAGTTTCTAAATGTGATGATGGTGTTCAGGCAAATAAAGTAGTCAGACTAAGACAAAGTCACATTGTAGCCTTAGCTTCTAGTGCTGCAGGTTACACGCTTGGTGTGTCCAGTACGTTTGCCCTAGTTATAACTGTGATTCCAATGCTGTTAAGCTGAGGGAGATATCAAGGTTAAGCTGAGGGAGAGATCAAGGTTAAGCTGAGGGAGAGATCAAGGTTAAGCTGAGGGAGAGATCAAGGTTAAGCTGAGGGAGAGATCAAGGTTAAGCTCTCAGTCGCCAATATAAACTGCTTCCTAACCACCTGGTGATGGAGCTGTTAAAGCCAGTTGGTGTAGGAGCGAAAGTGAGTCTCTGGTGCCATCACAAGGTGTTAGGGGCAGGTGAGTCTATGGTGCCATCACAAGCTGTTTGAGGCAGGTGACTCTCTGGTGCCATCACAAGGTGTCTATGGCTTCATTTTGCACCTTTTCGAGTCGTTCAATCTGGGTAGCACTGACAGTGAGGATGGCCAGAGCGTATTCAATGGGGGAAAGGACCAGACCGTAGAATAGAAGTATTAGTAGTCTTTGCTCTATATTGGAAGCAGCCATAATCCTCATTGCAGATAGACCTTTGCGTGCCTTTGTTATCACATGGTCAACGTGTTCCCTGAATGACAAGCTGCGATCGAACCTCACCCCGAGAAACGCCATAACATTGGTTCTGATCAATACACTATCACGCATTTTCACTTCTGGTAAGTCCAACTTGACAATGTGATTGTTCAAAGAGAACCATGACACTGATGCCTTCGAAGGATTGACATAGGCATTGGAACCATCACACCAGGCGGCAATTCGATCGAGTTCTTTGTGTATAGTGCTGGCGATCTCCTGTCTATCACGCCCTCGTCGATAAATCAAAAATCACGAGGTGATTGAGGCAAGTGAGTCTATGGTGCCATTACAAGGTGTTGGAAGCAGGTGAGTCTATGGTGCCATTACAAGGTGTTGGAGGCAGGTGAGTCTATGGTGCCATTACAAGGTGTTTGAGGCTGGTGAGTCTATAGTGCCATCACAAGGTGTTTGAGGCAGGTGAGTCTATAGTGCCATCACAAGGTGTTTGAGGCAGGTGAGTCTATAGTGCCATCACAAGGTGTTTGAGGCAGGTGAGTCTATGGTGCCATCACAAGGTGTTTGAGGCAGGTGAGTCTATGGTGCCATCACGAGGTGATTGAGGCAGGTGAGTCTATGGTGCCATCACAAGGTGTTGAAGGCAGGTGAGTCTCTCAGGTAACAAAAATGAAAACCAACTTCTAAAATGCATTGGGAAAAGCGCACAAACGAACTTTACACCCCCCAACCCCCCCACCCCCCAACCCATACACCTCGCTGAGGTAATTGGTAGAAGAAAAGATGAAGAAGAACCGATGTTTTGTGTTTTAGAAATGTTGCATTTGAATTTTCAATGTTGGCCTTCTGTTGAACGTTTAAATAATTCTAGGAAATGTACTGAAGATAAGCAGGATGCGTTTGTTGATGCGAATGTACCATTTGATGTGATTGGTCAAGTGGGCTTTTGTTTCAGTTTCACAGACCAGTGTCAGAATCAAGGGAACTAATAGCCACGGTCAACCACCATATGCCGAAATCAAAAACAAAACACAATCTTGGTTGACAATTTTAGAAGATAAATGTGCAGATGAAAATCGCATTCCCTTAGCGTCAAAATTTTTTTTTTGCGCATTCCTCTGTGGAAAGTTTTTTTTTTTTAACGCCCTTCTGTGAAGACTTCAATAATAAATGCATTGTCAAACCTTCAGATTCTGTCTGCTGTTCACACTGCGATCTTCTGATCTAAAAGTATCACACTTTTTAGGCAGCAGCACAGAGAGGATAAACGGCATGCAGGCAGGCACTCGTTCTAGTAAACGTTTATGTATTTTTTAATGTAGTTATGTTTGTATCTATATGCTGAGGAAGTCTGTCTAGCGGCAACGTTGATTCTGTATATTCCTGTGAAGCTGCCCATTCTTACTTCCTATACCTGTAAATGTGTCCAGACAATATTCATGTACTTAACTAAATAAAGTACAGCTCTTCCAACACCAGCTTCCTACACCAACCACGTCGACAAGAGGCCACGATGACTCAGCCAACATTTGTGCTAACCACAAGCCACTGAAATCCTGGCTATATATAGACACCATAGACAAACAGATCAAGTCAACACAGGTAGTTGTGTACACAGTGCAGGCAAACATTAGCTCAACTGAAGCTTTGAGATTGTGGGCTGCCATTTAGACCGGCTAGGCCTTACACCGTATATGATTATGTTCTAACCGCACAGAGCTGTTATAGAGGCGTCGTTTTTAGCCATACACAACGCTTCCTTCCTCGTCTCGGTTGATTTGTAACCGATTGCAATCGCACACGTACACCACGTGACTCGGTCGTCTCCCAAAGAGTTTTCCATTGTACCCGATGGTCTCTGATCAAATGGCCAAGTCCATAAAGGCAACTGTAACGGCCAGGTGAAACTTCTTCAATCCTATATGGGACAGCTGCAGATCTTACTGGTTTTTAAGAAGGAGAGAATAACTTGGCAATACAGTTACCATGGAGAGAGTCTTGAGTTCAACAGTTATTACGCCAACCACTCTCTGACAGATGTCAACCTTTACAGTTGACAGACAGAAACTTCTCTGTGGGATCCGTAGCAACTCACAGATTTACATCCTTGGCGACAGTGAGTGCCTAACCTGTCTCTTCGCCTCGTGGAGATGATGCTGCTGGTCTCGTGTGTGTGTGTGTGTATATATATATATATATTTATGAATCAGTTTAATTTCTATGCCAGGATTCTCTAGGGTATGAGGGAATGGAAAAGCGGATTGGCTTGCTTGCGGGGACACGGTAGGTACAGGAAAAGCAATAGATCAAGCCGACGTTTTTAATGTTCCCAAGAAGGCTAAGGGATATATTGAAGATGAGATCCGAGCGTTTGTGGACTTTGTGTGTGTGTGTCTGTGTGTATATATATATATATACATATATATATATAGAGAGAGAGAGAGAGAACGCTGCACGATATGGATGACATCACCACCCAACACAACCTTAACATTTCCATTTAACCATTTTCTGACCTGGTCCATCCGGGAACCGAAGTCTTATTTTTACAAGCATACCTGGAGGAGGATCTAAACCAATTTTGCACCATCAGACCTACGGGCAAGCAAAAGCCACCATCAGACCTACGGGCAAGCAAAAGCCACCATCAGACCTACGGGCAAGCAAAAGCCACCATCAGACCTACGGGCAAGCAAAAGCCAATCTTATTTGTCCATCAAAAATTTGGCCATGTAGAGTGCAATCCGGCATGCGGGCAAAACTGGTTGTGTACAAATGTCACACAGCAACGAATCAATTATGAAGCAGTGAAATAAATATGTTTTTTTGACAAAATGGTGAGTAATGTGGAAGGAGTGTGGTTTCCAACAATGAGTATGTCGCAGGTGTTTCTACTGCAAGTGGGGGTTTCTATTGATTTGTGTCTATAAATATAGCTGACCGCAGAAGAATGTCTCTATAGGTGGTAGCGGCAATGTTTGGTGTGGGTAGTTCATTCGCGCATATTTACATGTCGTGAATATCTGTAGGACGTTGTCGCTACTTGTTACTTTGTTGCTACGTGTATGATTGTTGCTACCTGTATGTTTTTCTCGCTTCCTGTGTAACATTCTCACTTCCTGTGTGACATCTTCATTTCCTGTGTGATACTCTCGCAACCTGTGTGACATTCTCACTTCCTGTGTGACATTCTCACTTCGTGGGTGACGTTTTCACTTTGTGGGTGACATTATCACTTCCTGTGTGACATTCTCACTTCCTGCGTGACATCTTCATTTCCTGTGTGACATTCTCACTTCAAGTGTGACATTCTCACTTCGTTGGTGACATTATCACTTCCTGTGTGACATTCTCACTTCCTGTGTGATATTCTCACATCTTGTGTGGCATTCTAGCTTCCGATGTGACATTCTCGATCACCTTATGACATTCTCACTTCCTGTGTGTCAGTCTAACTTCTTGTATGCTATTCGCACTTACTGTGTGACATTTTCATTTCCTGTGTGACATTTTTACTTCCTGTGTGATATTCTAACTTCATGTGTGACATTCTTACTTCCTGCATGGCATTCTAACTTCATGTGTAACATTCTCACTTTCTGACATTATCTCTTCCTGTGTTACTTTGTCGCTTCCTCTTTGACATAAACGTTGTGTGCCATTGTCGCTGCTTGTGTTACTCTGTTGTTATGTGTATGATTGTTGCAGTCCGTGTGACACTGACCGCTCCTAGTGTGACATTGTTGCAGTCCGTGTGACACTGATCGCTCCTAGTGTGACATTGTTGCAGTCCGTGTGACACTGATCGCTCCTAGTGTGAGATTGTTGCAGTCCGTGTGACACTGATCGCTCCTAGTGTGACACTATTGCCGCCTGTGTGAGTTTATCGCTACCTGTGTAACTGTAGCGTTAACTCTGTGACATTTCCGCTACGTGTGACACAGCCACTATCAATCCGAGTGATCGTCTGCTATTCTCGTTGATCTAGGCCCGGAGAGCGGCGCCATGTTTGCCCAGGCGGAAAATCCCAAGGTAGGAGCGGCAAAGGCAAACAATTCTCTCTCCACACACAAACTTGCACTTTAGAGCAGCCACGTCGCCCAACACAAGCGCATTCACTATCCAGTGACAACCATTAGAAATGAAAGCTTGGTCCGCAGGTGCCGTTTATTTTCCAGTTTTAGAAAATAAGATTATGTGAATTTGAATAGAATAATGGTTCGTAATT